CTGTCACCTGCCAATAGATCTGCTGATATTTTTGCTTTTTCAGATTGAAGAATGCTCTGGCATACAGGACAAGGTAGCTTGTGAGCAGTAGCGCTACTGAAGTCACTAATCAGACCCAGATGCTCACATTACTAAGCCCCTAGGTAAAATTTAGTGGTGATTGGATCGGTCATGCGAATATTCAACTTACGTGTACATTCATGCCAAATATGCCGGCCACGAATGTCAGAGGAATGAAGAAAAAAGCGAGCTGAGTAAGCTTTGTGACTTCCTGAGCTTGTTTGACAGCTTTGTTGCTTTCAACGATGCTCGCCGTACCTACCAACGTGCTCGTCACACTTGTGAGCGCATTGGTAGTTGATTCTAAGTGACGTAGACCATCCTCGATCCACTGCTCATACTCGACGTACGCTTCTTTCATATCCTGTCCTTGATTTCTGATCGACTGGCCGGTGACCGTCATGTATCGAGCAATATGCCGTTTAAAGTCGAGCCTGGAATATAGGATTGATCGAAATACCCCAAGAATTGACTGCCAAGCCATCATGGAGAGGATTAGCAAGCGCTTGTTGCCCATGTCAACGTCTATCCGGGAAAGAAAGCTGTCCAGTCGGCCAAAAAAATCTTGCTCACGTTCCAAGATGATCCAGAAAAACCGGATTTCAAAACATGCGAAAAGCTCCGGTCCAGAGACTGATCGGCCGTCAAGCTTGGCCATATCCGCAACGAAATGTCGCATTGTGAATTGTGCATGCAGCCTCTTTTCCCTCTCGCGTTCTCCTCGGGCTTCAATATCGTTGTCGAAAAAATTAACCAATATGGTATGAGGTAGCCGAAGGAAGTGTAGTTGTTGACTCTTGGTATATTCCACAGCGATGCCCCAGATGTCTAGGTGGTGCGCGAACCGTGAGTTGGAAGTTGACCCCTCAACCTTACCCTCTGAGTCCATTCTGTAAAACTGAGCATTATTCATTGAACTTTCTCGCATACAACTTGAGCGGACGCTTCCACCTTCAGTTCGAGTATAGAGAGGCTCTTTGAAGAGCTGCTGGATGAATTCCTTATCCGTCGTATGTCGAAGTTCGCGTTGAAAAAGGTGGTTCTGTAGGTTTTGATTCACGGCAGATGCATCGTTCGCTTTGACGACCATGAACTGCAGGCTTTCATCATTTCCCGCCTGTTGAGCTTCTGCTCTTTGGGAGAACTCTTCCAGAGTACTGAACCATGTTTGGCGGCAGTGGCTGTTTCCGTCTTGGTTTTTGACGGATTCAAGGATGCGGATAGCTGCCGTGTTGTCTGATGAAGTTTCTGAATCGTCCAAGTTCTCGGAGTTGCCGTCTCTAGTTGTGTTTTCGACTGGCTGAGAGTGATCTGTCTGATCCGCATCGGTGCGGTTCTCGTCGGGCATCGGTTCGATGTTGTCTCGCCTGTCGGGCTCGGGCCCTTTCTCCAAGTCCTCAACTGGACCCATGCCAGTGGTTTCGAATAAGAGAGAACTTCAAAGCGGATGCCAGAAAAGCGTTCAGCTGGCAGTGGCGAGTTCCTGTGGTCCGCGCCCATTTGACGCAGAGAAGACACAAGGCTTGAAGTTCGCGATGGCATTCTTGACAAGAGATGACCTGGAACAAAGTTTGGGTTGCGAACGGAATTCGATTGCTTCGCAAGGCTGAGCATCGACCAAAGGCTGTTATCAGTCGCCAAGCTGTTCGCAATTGCTGACAGCGCAGCGTGCAGCGGTACGCCCCGTCATCTACTTGCTCTCTGCAGATTGTAGCAATTAATCCGATCGGAGTGTCGATGAAGAGACATGGATCCATGAAAGAAAGCTGCGTGCTGCGTTGCAGCTGATAGTGGGGGCGAATGCGTAAGCGCCATGCTCATGCAGTGCCTTCCAGATTTTCCAGGCGGCATCCAGCAAGGCTGCCATGCAAGGCAATTTCCACTTTCAGCCTTGTGCAAAGAGGCTGACTTCGGACGGGTTGGTGTTGCTGCATCGCGAACGGAACAGGCGAATGCTCCTCGGCGCTTCGCTCTGTCTGCAGCCCCTGAGTTGAGTGAAGGCAAGGGATGTCCATCCGAGGGTTCTGAACGACATCTTCAGGGGCAATGAGCATCAGACACCAAAGACAGATCATGACAAGAGAACAGGCTTAACCACTCTAAAATTAAGAAGTCCCGAATTTGAGATGAACACAAATCTGCATCGGCAAAGTAGCAAATCTCCTTTTACTGAGGATTGCTAGTAGCACGATTCCGACGACGCAAACGGAGGACTTTTGCTGCCAACCGCTCAATCTCTACGGAGATAGCAGCCAGTGGCAGCGAAACTGGCAGTAACAGTACGAATGGACCATACTTGAAGAATTCCTTGGCTGCCGTAGGATACAGGAGGCTGTAAGTGATTACAAGGAGTGAGACGGAAGTGACAGCCCAGACCCATAAGTTCAGGTTGGTTAATTCCTGGGCATCAATTAGCTGCTTGAAAATTGGCAAGTACACCTAAGACTGGACTGACCTCAAAGTTCATGCTGAATACTCCCACGACAAACGTTAGGGGGATGAAAAAGAAGGCCAGTTGAGTCAATTTGGTAGCCTCCTCGGCTTGACTGATTGCTCTGGTACTTTCGTTGATACTCATTGTTCCAATCAAAGCAGTGAAAGAAGAGTCGTAGTGGCGTAGGCTACCATTGAGCTTTGAACCAAATTTTTCGAGGGTCTCCTGTAAGTGTTGGTCGGCTGAATCTTTCGTGATCTGTTGAATGTGCCATTGTAAAATATGGCTGGAAAAGATGTGGCTCCGCCATTTTCCCATATTTAGTTTCAGTGCATCCAAATCGGTTCGAAGATATTCACCCATGTTGTGAGTTCTTGCCAAGGCTAAAACAAGATCAGTGGACGGATCGCCAAGTCGCACATCGATGCTTTGAAGCCGTTCCTCCAGATGCATGAGAATTTCGTACTCATCGTCGAGTATGTTCTGGCAACTCCTTTCTCGAATGAATCGGAGCAGATTAGGCTTGGACGCGATTTGGGGATCAAATTGTGCCAAATCCGCCGCGAGACGTTGTGTGATGCTTGTGAATCGCGGTCGTCGTTCCAATTCCTGGTCGAACACGTTTTGGGGATTATATCGTGACATATCTGCCGCGAAACGTTGTGCTCAGCTTGCGAATCGCGGTCGCCGTTCCATTTCCTGGCTGAAATCGCGATCAGACGAGCTGAGATGAGCGAGTACCATGGTTTGAGACACCCAGACACACCATAGGTGCGCATCATGTGCGTCAAGATAGCCAAAAAATCTTTCGCTATCGCGCGTTATTCCCACCTCCATCTTTTGCATCTCCGCATCAGTACTGGAGCCACCTTTTCCGCGAAACTTTCACGGGGTCAGAACAGGAGAGATCTTCTTCCAACTTAAGCCAAAGCTATCGTCGGTCCATCGGACATTGGCCGTTCGTGGATTATCCACCAGTGCGCAAAGTGTCTTGATCTCCTCTTGTGGCACTCTACGATGCCGTAGATAAGTGTCGAGACATGCTGTAAGGTAGTTTCCGCGCAAGATCAAAACCTGCAGATCGGCTTGGACTTCTGTCGCGTTCGAAGTTTCTTGCAATTCCGTTTTGTCGAGATCCCGAACCCACTCGCGCGACGACTCGCAGAAGGTGGTGCGCAAGTCACACTTTCCATCCTGGTTTTTGACGTATTCGACGAGTCTGACGTCTGGATCTCCTGCATCACTCGCGTCCCGATAATAGCTCTCGAAGAACTTGATGGAGGGTGATTTTTGATCTGTTCGGCTCTGATCTGAATGTTCCTGATCGCCTGTAGTCTGATTGTGGTCTCCGTTCGGATCAGGTCCATCATTGTTTTGATGTCGTAGGCCTAATTCAAGGTCGTTGTTCGGACTCATTGCCAACTGTCGGTGAGTGCAAAGGCTTAGCAGCTGTGCTTCTTGAAACCGTATCGATGGGGGGTCAAAACAATCTGCTTGAGACTGCAACCAAAGAAAAATGTCGTCGCTTGTCCTGGCTGAATGCAGGACTTGCGGCACTTATCTGGCTCCTCCTCAACCTCCGTTACTGATTGAGAGGACCTGGTCACCAGTTCCACAGCATTGCCGACGTGTCGTCTGGAAGTCCAAACGGCTGGCCTTGCAGTGATTCCAAAGCCCCATCGGACATCAATCTGCACAATCCCAAGCCATTCGTGTCCATCCAAATTTTAGACAAAATTCTCTAACTGCTTTTTCTGCGTTGTTGGACAGGACGAGACGCGCCACGCTGCAGCAATCCTCGCAGTCGATCCCTGATATCTTGCACGCTTTTTCCGCCTCGTTCGGAATTGAAACACCAACTGCATGTACATAAGGACTGAGTGGCGCTTGCAGCCGCGAGAATTTCCGGGTTTCCGGGTTTGCGGTGTATGCAGACAATAGAAAGAAAAGGACAAAGGTCCATCGATCTCTCTCATTTGCTCAGTTTCAGCCTTGTTCAATCACTGGTCTTGCATGATCGGATCCTGGTCGGAACGAGCTGTCGCTGTGGTTTGGAGTGGACAATTGATAGTGGCTGCTCGAGTTGGTTCCGTTGTTCCGTCGCGTTTGTGACCTACTTCGAGGTCATAGCCTTGGACAATGGCTGATTTCCAGCGACAGCACAGGTGCTATGACAATGGCTCAAAAGATGACCTGTGGGGAGAATCAGAGACTGGGACGATGACGCTTCGCCATTCCCAATGCAGTGCGAGTTCAACTCATCCGTCCACTCATCAGCGCCAGTTGCTGAGATGAGAGCCATTTAATTGCTTGCCACTGCACTTCCGGCGCGGTTTATGCAAGTCCAGCCAGTCAGCTCCGAGAGGCGTTCTGTGGAGTGGCTAGCACATCGATCTGGTGGCTTGCCTCGTCATTCAAGTGGGCAAAAGAGATGTTGGGGTGTTCAGCTCTGCGTGGTTGCAGCGAGTGTCCAACAATGGGCAGAAAGCAAAAAGCAAAAAGATCATGACTAGGGTGCGATTCGAACGCACGCGGTTTCCCACTACGGGTACAGTTTTAGCCCTTGCAAGGCTAGCACCTAAACGTAGCGCCTTAGACCACTCGGCCACCTAGCCTGGATAATGCCAGCACCTCATCGAAATGTGGCGAACATTATCGAATTTGACCTGAATGGTGCAGTTTATAAACAGGGCGCGCTCCGAACTCGCCCTCGTCTCCCAATGTCTCTTCGGCACTCGGTCTGATTTGACTTCATGCCTTCGATGTCTTCGAAAGTGAGGGAAATCCGAGACGATGTCGACAAAGGAACGTCAATTTGCAGCTGTCTTGACGAGATGCGATCGAAGGAGACGAAAGACGCCGACGAAACCAAAGAGAACGGGTCAACGCATTGTTCCGGAGCGGTGAGAGCTGCGCCTATCATGTCCCAGTTGCAGCGTAGCGGTTGAGATGCTATCAAGCCAAAAATTCGATTCTCACGAGAATGCTTGGTCGATTCGACTGCAAAGGGTACCCAACAACCCTACATTTAAACGTGGCAAAGGCAGATTTGGTTGGAGGTTTGCCATGCTGTTCCCGATCGCAGGCGGATGTCGGGAGAGCGGGACAGGGAAGAGAGTCTGCATGGATATTCGAATTGCCTTCTTTGGACCAACAGCGCTCGTTGCGGAGGCCGTACGGTTGATTTTCCAGTGGATTTTCTCTCTAACCAGAAGAGAAACGGAAGCAGTCCGCGGCGAGAAGCGTTTGATCCGCGCATGTTCTGGCCGGCATCCATTGTAGGTCGATAGCATTATCTGCATGTCTGGAGAGTAGTTGCATCAAGATAGACCGAGTCAGGGTAGATGTCGAACACGAAATGCTACTAGTCGGCGGTTCCTAGCCGTCTGACGCGTCCTGGAGCAGAGGATCAAGACCGAAAGCAGGCTGGGGTTGGCGCAAAGCGGCAAAGGCTGGAGACGATGCGGGCGACGATGCGGGCGACGGATTGGGGCGCCATTCCATTCCACAGCTAGTTTCTGGCCCAAGACGTGAACAGTTTCGGCGACTTTGCGGAGAAGCAGAGGAAAAGGTTGGTCTGCGGGCGGGGGAGAGTCTGGAGATGGAGGAGGATTGCGGCGGTGCGGCGGGGCCGCGTTGGTTGCGCGCGGGTTGAGCGGCGGGACCCGGCAGAAAAATCGCATCCCAACCAAACACTCGTCTCTCTCCATCTACTCCTCGTAACCCTCCGCCATTCTCTCCTCCAAACTCTTCCTCCATCCTGCTCGCTGTCGCCTCGTGCCACTCGTCTTTGGCTCTTGTCGTCCTCAGTCTCCCCGCTTCTTCACCACCCCACCACCCAAAATGAGCGACGGCGAAATCGCCCACCCCACCATCAAGGGTAACGTTCCACTCGCTCTCCTCGCCGCGACTGTCACTGACCGCTCCCAGATGGCTGGTTCCGCGAGATCTCCGACATGTGGCCCGGCCAGGCCATGACCTTGAAGGTCAACCAGGTCCTCCACCACGAGAAGAGCAAGTACCAGGACGTCCTCATCTTCGAGTCGTCCGACTACGGCAACGTCCTCGTCCTGGACAACGTCATTCAGTGCACTGAGCGCGATGAGTTCTCGTACGTGGCGAAACAACTTGGACTGGAACATTGCTGAGAAGAGTGTAGTTACCAGGAAATGATTGCCCACCTGGCCCTCATGTCCCACCCCAACCCCAAGAAGGTTCTCGTCATCGGCGGCGGTGACGGTGGTGTCCTGCGTGAGATTGTCAAGCACGACTGCGTTGAGGAGGCCATTCTGTGCGACATTGACGAGGTGGGCGCAACGCTTGTCCCAAGGCTGTCCGTTTGTTAACCATATCAGGCCGTCATCCGTCTCTCCAAGAAGTTCCTCCCCGGCATGTCGATTGGCTTCCAGCACCCCAACGTCCAGACCATTGTTGGCGACGGCTTCAAGTTCCTTGCGGACCGCAAGAACGAGTTCGACGTCATCATCACCGACTCCTCCGACCCGGAGGGCCCCGCCGAGTCTCTCTTCCAGAAGCCCTACTTTGAGCTGCTCAACGATGCCCTTCGCGAGGGTGGTGTCATCACCACGCAAGGTTGTAAGCCCCCACTTTGGCCCCTCTATAGCAATCTGGCTCTTGTATCCCGCGCACCGTGTACAATTATTATCCTCCTTCCAATTCACTTGCCATCCGCCCACCCAATATCATTCAGAAGAGCTTGCTTGTTAACCTCCAATGCGCCCCTATGCAGCCGAGAACCAATGGCTCCACATGCCGCTCATCGCCAAGCTCAAGAAGGACTGCAAGGAGGTCTTCCCCGTTGCCGAGTACGCCTACACCACCATCCCTACCTACCCCTCCGGCCAGATTGGCTTCATGGTTTGCTGCAAGGACGCCAGCCGCGACGTCAAGAAGCCCGTTCGCTCCTGGACCCTCGAGGAGGAGGAGAAGCTGTGCAAGTACTACAGCAAGGAGATCCACGAGGCCTCTTTCATCCTGCCCACCTTTGCCCGCAAGGCTCTGCGGTAAGCCGAGACGACGCGAAGAGTATGGCCAAATGCGTCGAGATTGGACATAGATGGAGGGCAATGGATGTGAAGAAAAAGCATATGACGACTTGTACGGCATGTCATGTGAAATGGAAATGCAAATAGCGGAAATGAAGCATGTGTGCACGGCCAAGACTGCTCAATTCGCGTGCTCAAGCTTTTAGCGCTCAATAACACAGATGCGGGAACGGTGGCGTTCCAATTGAGATGTGATGGGTGTTGTGCTTGGAGCACAAGACGCAGCTTTCAATCAAGGCTAAGTCCAAAAGTCGTGAGCAAACCGCCGGTGCTGACAAGCTAGCGCCTACAGTACAATTTCAGTCGCTCCGCACACTTCCATCATCAACAAGCGCCACGCCATCTTTTCATCCTCAGAAAACGCTGTCCATCATCAACCTCAAGCAGACGACGCCAACACCACTTTTGACACAGAATGCAGAGCTTCCCGCACTCCCTTATCCCATGGACGCAAGACGCGAGGGAAAAACAGTAAGGTCGTCTTGGAACTGTGAAGAGCGGAGAAAGTGAGGCCTTCTGTCTGGGGGTTTCCCTTCATCGGAGGAGTGAGCAGCACCTGGCCATACACACTTCGAGAGGCATGGGAGAGGGAAGCTTTTATACACCTCCACCCCTTTCCCGCGACCAGTGCGCTGCTTCGCCGGCATCCCTATCACAGGAACAGCGCGCGGCCTTTCACGAGCAGCGCTCTGCTGCATGTGGTCCAACTCAGTCCTTTCACGCGCTTCTCCTGACGCCGATGCCTTGCGCCTGTGACTGGCCTGCGCTCTCCACCTGACCGCGCAGTCTTCCTACGGTAGAGAAGCGGGTATAAAAGCCGCCCATCTTGCCCCGCTTCCACTCCTCACTGCACATTGGCGCCGGTCTGTGGCTCGACGCCAATCAACGAATTCACTGGTAGAGCATGGGCAATCGATGTCGAGTACTGTGGAGGATGGGCGTGGGGAGCGCTCAGCGCAAGTCCAGAATTCGCCGGCTTCCAATACCCGTCGAGTTGCTCTGATGGACAGATTTGTCGTGCCACAGTGCTGTCGACCTAGACACGCCAACGACGAGACACAGCATTGACGCATAGACATTCTTTGGGAACAGAGCTACGGTAGCGAGTGTCTCCTGACCCATGCGCCGGAGCACCGCCCATCCAGCCTCTAGCCAGTCAATCAGTCTGCAGGACCTCGCTGGGGTATCAAAACCCTCCACGTTGACTCAAGCTTCTCATAATTCAAAACAACGCGTCCTCACGACAACACTACATGCATCAAAATGCTGCACTTGTGATGAGCGAACATGAGGAAGAAGCCAATACTGGACCGGCGCGCCCTGCGCCTCGAAGTCCCAAATCTGTAAAAAGAACCCAGAGCCTGACGCGAGCCGCATCAGTCCGCGGTAAAGCCTGTCATCGCTATGCTGCAATGGTTCAGGGCATCGTCAAGACACGCCACACCAACCACGCCTTGACCCCTCTGTCTAAATGGCCGAGTTGGGAGCGGGAGAAACGAACGAACGCACGCGCAGTCTCCGTGCAGTCTCGCACCCGTGGTGTAGGACACACCAGTATCCTGGTGGATTGGTCGCTGCGAGCATACCAGCGCTGGCAGAATGCGTGCTGGCAGTGGCTGTGGGGGAGAGAGGTGAGCTTTTATACCCCTGGATTCGGTTTCAGGGGCGGAGGCAGGAGCGGGTGATGGGCTTTGCGCCATTCACATGCCACATGGAGGCAGTTGTTCGTCACGCTTCTTGCATGCCACATTGCCTTCGCTCCGAGCCTCTGACGGGCCTGTGATACGGTCGTGGCGTCGAGTTCCGTGCCGATGGTTTGACGTATAAAAGCAGCTTTGCGCCTCCTCTGGAGTGAGCTGTCAAGCTGCTCCGCCTGCTATACTAGCAGCAGTGGGAAAAGGTCTTTCGTATGGTCACTCTCTGCCCAGAGTCATGCCTTGGCACCCCTACGAACACTGTTTGCTTTGTGCGGCGCTCATTTGTAACTGGCGATCCAGCAGACAGACCGACAACCCCATCACCACGTCTTACGACCATGTCGTTCGCCAACGCCGTCCAATGGAGGGCGTGATCATCGTCCTCCCGCAATGATGAGGATCGCTATGGATCAACGCCACCATGGGGATCTTGTTTGACATGGCATAGGCGCAGTCCAGGAGAAGCCACGAAAGAAGGAAGCACCACAAGAAAAGAAGTATTTCATGATTGAGGTGCCCTTTGCCGCCTGCCCACAGGGAGGGTGACAGTTCAGAAACCCTAGAGCTGAAGAAGTAGCGTTTTTATACCTCTCCAACCGCACGGAGGGTTGGTCACGGACGGGGTATTGAGTCACACCGCCGCTGCTGGCACATGCATCTGTGCGAGAGGCTGGCTTGTGATAGACCGCCTGTCTCGTGCGTGTCCTTCCCCTCGTGGTGTCTATGTGGATGGGTGTCAAAGGAGACCTCAACTCCTCCATCTGCTGGGCAGAACAAGACAGGAGGTCGCTTGCCTGACAGGCGAGGCGATATCAAACACACTGGATGGCTACTTCGTGGTATGCGCTTCTG